CTAAATATTTTTCAGATTTTGATGGGAAGCTTTCCTATTTTCTACTGAATTGATGACATTAAAGTTGAAAGCTTAGACTTCCAACTAAGAGGTTCAGGATTCGAGTCTATATGTATGCGTTGTATGTATGAATTTGACTTAAATGACCTAAATGTAAAAAAAAAAAAAAGACGCTGGCTGCCACTTTTTTTTTTTTTAAAGGATGCTGTCTGTCTGCCACTTATTAATATTCTTGCTTTTTCAGAAAGCTCCAAAAGACTGTCACATGCCCTCATAAGGGAAATCTTACATCCTAAATCTCAACCGTTCCTTTGAAATCCTACGGCCTAGCAGAGATCTAAACAGTGCCTAGAAATTCCAGCTGGAAATGATCAAATAAATAATAAAACTTAAAAGTCAAGCAAACGCACACTAAGTTTTTTTTTTTTCACACTAAGATTTTTTTTTTTTGGGAGAACCCGGGGCAAAAAACCCCATGTATTAAAGATCAGAATTCAATTACAAGAAACCTGTGGGAAGAAAACTGAACAAAACAAAATTACACAGAGAAAACCCAAAGAAAGCAGTGGGCAATAAGCAATTCAAGTGACTCAGAATAGGCCAAAACCAAGAGAAACAACATAATTTTCAGAAAACCTGAAACAGTCGCTGCGGTGGATACTGGTTGCCTGAAACAGATAAATGAAACTGATAATTGGGATCGGTCAGATGAAAGGCCATCACACTAAGATTTCGTTTGGACATTTTTTTTACTGCTTCGGTCCGTCCTACCTAAAGTAACTTTTACATTTTTAGTGAAAAAAAAAATTTGTACTGTAAAAATTATTTTATAATATTAAAACAACTGTGTCAACTAAAGCCTAAGCGGCCGGATAATTATAACTTGACTACTTTCTAAATAAGTCTTTAAATATAATTTTTTTTGAAATAAAAATAGTTTATTAAAAAATCATTATAGAAAACCTAATTTTTAAAAGCCTTGAAGATTTAAGATTGAATATTTTTTATCATTAGAATAAATTGTTCTCATACAAATATACAATTTAATATTTAGATGCACATCTACACAGCAAATTATCATAGATCTAACCACACGAGCATTATGAGTCTGTGCTTGAATTGCAATTGCAAATGTGAATCTAAATATTAAACTGAATATTTGAAGAAGAGCAATTTCCCTATCTTGTAATGAATTGATTACATGAAAGTCCAAAGGACATGACATGCAGAAAAACTTAGACTTCGTTTGGGACGACTTTCTTTCTTCTTCTTAAAATAATTTTTTAGCATAAAAATTAAAATTTTTAGAATAAAAAATTTATTTTCAAATGAAGCCTTAATATTCTTGCTTTCTTCACAAAGCTCCAAAAGCACGTCACATGCACAAATACAACTTTGTCTGCCACTTCCTAATGTAATGTAGATCCACATGCTACTCTCCTAAATTTATTTTACTTTAATGTCATCAATTCATTTAAGTTTAATCACAATGGTGATTACTCTTCAATTCATTTATTTGCAGAAGATACCATGTGAGAGAAAAAAAAATCACATTATGTAATATCGCAGCAATCACTACTAGAAAAATGGGCTACAGCAGCACAAAATTATACATTTTCCGGCGATTTTAACCCCCACAAATTTTCTTGCAGGGGTTTCTAAACCGCTGCTCGACTGCTGTGTCTGCGATGCGCTGCAAAGACATTATGCAGCGGTTTTAGAAGCCTTGGATAGACACAAATTATAATAGCGGTTTAATCCGCTACCAATCTACAGAATTACCACGGATGCGCTATTAAAATGCCATGTGAAAGCTAGATAGGAATAGTTATTTGTGAAGTTAATGGAAAGAAAAGGTAGCAGTGGGCTGCTATGTATATATTGTCTTGATTCAATGAAAGTTCAAAAGTTGGAAGAACCAATCAAATAGTGATCACGAGATCTGCTCATGAAAAAAGGCAAGTGGGGAACAACTTATGGCATGCACAATTATTGGAAAGATGTTATCTTTATCCCCATCTTCTTTGAATTGTTGGAAGTTATTTGTTTTGTAGGGGTCAAGTAGTGTACAACAAATCATATTGAAAAAAGCTACTTCTCATCATAAAAGTTTTTTGAAAATAATGATAATTAAAATTGTCGCCAAATAGAAATATAACAACAATCTCACAAGAAAAAGCCGCCTCAAATTGACCCATAGGGACCGTTTGGCAACAAGTGGCACAGTTTTGATGTTATGTATATAAATTTACAATTTTCAAGTTAATATAACTTAAGCTATTTAAATGATAAAATATAATATAACTATAAGATTTCCAAGAAAATAACATATCATCTAAGCTCCAATCATTTAAAATTTGGAATCTATAAAATCATTAAGTTAACATAGAAATCCCTAAATAAATCCTAAGTTCATTTGAAGGTATAAATACAAGAGATGTCATTTCTAAATCAAGCCAATCAAGAGAACATTATCAATTCATATATCAGGTATAGCATCTATAGTTTACCCAGTTGATTTCAAAATAACTGGACATGACCAAAGAAATCCACAACATCAGTTTGTGGTTTAAACTAACCCAATTGTTGGACAAAGAAGAAGGTAGCCTGCAATCTCCACGGCAAAAAAAACCTTCCAGTTCCCGTTGTTCCATTCTTGAACGATGAAGGCTTTCTCCTTGCAAACTTGAAAACGAATGGAGGCTGTTTGGAGGAAAAAAATAATGAGAAGAAAGGGTAACGATACTTCGCCGAAGATTCTCAAGCAGCCGTTCTACCTCGCCTTCGATCAGCTTCCTCGGTCTCTTCCTCACACCATTCCGATGTCTTCGGGTGAGAAGATTAGCAAATGTGATGTGCAGTGGGCTCCGGCTCCTCTCCGCGAGCAATTGTGACGCTCGGAGCAATGCGTCTCGCTCCGCTTTGGTCGCACGAAGGAAAGAAGATGGAAAGCCCAAGTTCTAAAAATGGATCTTGTGCCGATCGGAGCCTCCATCCTTTCGATTGCGCTCTTCTAGCTCTGGATGACATTTCCAAACTGTTAGACGTTCCAAAGAGGGAGGAAGGTTCGGTAATTCCCGAAGCATAGGAACGTCCTCAATATATTGTTCCTTAAGTGAAGATAAGATTTCAGAAACCACCTCATCATTATCCTCAATTGTCAGCTTTTTTAAGGAGGCGATACTTCCATTCTCGCCTTCTCGGGCAAAGTTATGCGACGCAAGTTTGTAAGTTTATTAATGTCACTTGGTATAAAATCATCACCATTAGGTTGGCTTTCCCCTGGGCTATCATAGATTATGTATTGCAAGTGATAGAGATTACTTAGACATCTTGGCAGCATAGTCAAATTATAACCAACAATCTTCAAGTATCGAAGATGTATCAAATTTCCAATCTCCTCCGGTATCTTTTTCAAGTCTGGAGCATATAAGTATAATAAGCGGAGGCTTCTCAATGCTTTGAATATTTCAATAAGTTCACTGCAAATATCCTGATTAGAAACTTTATAGAACAAGAAAAGAGAATGCAAATGTTTAAACTTCTCAATTTTGCTTAAGATGTATGGCTTTGCATTTAGAACAGACAAGTGTCGAATAGTCTCAGAAATTTCGAGAGATGACTTTTCATCATCCACAACTTCAACGCATTCCTGTGCAAAAAATTTAGATGCTGACTCTTGTATTAAAACATGCATCTTGTAGTGATATCCGACTTTGTAGCCATATCCGACCTTGTCAAATAAATCTTTTTTAACTAAAACATCAAAATACCTTCCTCCGATGTCCTCCATAGTCATTCCTTGAGACGGTTGAATGAAACCCAATGCAATCCACATTCGGACTAAATCATCTTTATCAAACTCATGATCTTCTGAGAACATACAACAAAATGCAAAACAATTTTGTAGATGATTTGGCAGAACTATATAGCTCAGTCTTAAGATGGAATGGATAGAATTCTGATCCAATAAAATGCTTTCTAGAACTGTCATCCAATGCCCTTCATTCAAGTTGTAATTCAGAACACCACCAATGACTTTAGCTGCCAATGGGGATCCTAAAAGCATTTTAACTATCTCTCCAGCAATGGCTCTTAATTTTTTATAATCATCATCAGAGGGGTTCTCTACACCAGCAAATGCATGAGAGTTGAGGAGCTGCAAACACTCATCTTCCTCTAGGCCCTGTAATATTAATGTTTCCTTCTTGATTTTCATTACCTTTGCAAACATCAGTGCAACAAAGTCTGATCGAGTTGTTAACAGAATCTTACTTCCAAAACCCCCAAAAGCCAGAGGGGCAAGCACGTTCTCCCATTTCATGATATGCCTGTTCTCCTCCTCCTCCTCCCAAATGTCATCCAGAATAAGTAAGAACTTTTTGGACATAATCTCAGTCCGAAGACTATCTTGAAGTGCCTCGAGTGTCTCCAAATGAGGCCTCTCCTTCTTAAGACATTCCAACATATCTGCAATGAATTTTTTCGCATCAAAGTTGTTGGAAACACGAACCCACATTTTAAGATCAAATTCCTTCGTCATTTCATCTTCATAGACGTGTTGCAAGAGAGTTGTCTTCCCCATACCACCATGGCCCACTATAGATAGAAGAGAAATGTTGCCGTACAAAGTAGTTCCCCGATGCTCATTTGATGGATGCCTCAGCCACATCATAACAAACTCCTTCTCCATGCCTCGACCGATGAGATCATTTTTAGGCGCGGATCCCGTTTCACGCGCTCTGTACAGCTCAAGCTGCTGCTCCTGATGCTCCTGCTCTGCGCCTTTTACAAGATGAAGGAAAGTATCAACACCAGTTGTTGAAACTTTATGAAGTTTCTGCACAGCCTCCTCCAGTCGCTTCAAGCTGGGATCAATTTTTAGAGCACGTTTGCCAATTTTGACAAGTCTTTTCTTCATGGATTTCATGATGTTACGCACCCTTCTCAGCTTTATGATTTTTGTCAGCTGTTTTTGAAGTTTCATGTACTCTAGCTCATCAACCACGTCATCTGCATCATCAATGGCATCTCGGAGCTGCCATAGCCATTTGTTGAAAGCCGGGTTCTGATCGCTGATTTGTGCTTGGTTGGCGGCAAAGACGACAGCTTGGATCTTGGGGTGGTTCTCTCGCAGCCTTTCCAGCTTCTTCTTCATGCCCGTCTGCCATCCGACTTGATCTTCCAGGTAAGCAGAGCAAGCGTTGATGATCTTCTCCATGATTGGACCAGCAAAAAATCCCTCCATCGCAGCGACGATTAAGGTAGAGAGTGCAGAACAACTGAACAGTAGGAGAAACAGAGCTCGGAAGAGAGAGAGAATTTAAGCAGCAAATGGCCACGTCCAGCGTAAGTCAAGTAACAGAGAATAAGTGAGAGAGAAGACAAAGCTGCCAAGTAGTCGTAGTAGAAGTCTAAGTAAAACAGAGATTAGAAGAAAGAAGATTAAATAGTCTCTAATAGTCGGGAAGCCTACTGATGAAGTTTGTGGCATTAAAAAATTAATGTATTTTAAAATAAATGAGAAGTTTGATTTTTAATGGAAAAATCATTTTAAATGAATGCTTTTTATATAATATAATTGAATAAATTTGTTAAAAATAATCATTATAAAATAAATGTGTGATTCATAAATGATTGATTTGGATATTTATGAGAGTGTTAAAATTGGGACCAAATTTACTTAATCAATTTGAAATTAATTTGACTTAGTCAAAACTAATTTGGTTGAAATTAGTCTCATATGATTGAGTTAGAGTAACTAAATTCATTTTAATGAAATTCATTATAATTAGATATGAGCTAATTCAATTCGAGTTGAACGAGTTAATTTAAATGAATTTAATACAAATAAAATCTTATGCATCCTCAATTTTAGTAGACTTGGCTTGATTTTATTCGATTAGACTCAACTCCAAAAATAAGACGAAGAGGATTATAAATTTCATTTTTAAAAAGAGGACAACAAACAAAGAATTGTCTATTGCCAAGAACATTATGGTTCTTGATAATGAGTTCTTCTGCCTCAACCGTAATTTTATTCATAACATATTAAAATACAACAAGAAGAATAGTAGGGAAATAGCTTTTACATATTATGAAGAAGATCCTTTAAATGCCATTAACTAATCTTAATTAATCTTTAGGATGAGTTTGATTCAATTGTGTTTAAAATTTCATCACAACAAGTTGCTTTTTTTATTTTTTTTTTGGGAAATTTACAAGTTGCTTTTAATTTGACTAGCACTAGATGAAGCCTTCAAAGTAACATCAAGCAAGCAAAACAAAATAAGTATTAAAGATTTGAAATTGATTTTAAGATAGACATATTTTAAATGTTAAATGATTACTATCTTTGTTTACATCAGAGCCGTAGAATTTATTTCAACTTCCTTGGGATGAAGTTAATAGCCTCGTAGGTTCGAACTACCCAGTAGTAACCAGTATTGATTAATTGATTTAATTAGTTGAGAATTATGGGTTGAAATTTTTTTAATTAAATGATTGATTGCTGGTTTCAATAATTAAGTTAAAGTTTTTTGAAATTTTAAGTCAATTATTGGATATTTTTAGTTTTTGAATTATTTTAATTCATTAAATAAAGGGTCAAAATTAACTTTTAAATTAAAGATGAATTTTAGAATTTTGATATTTTTTCTAAATATTAGACACTCAGATCAGTAAGTTGACACTAAGTTTGTTGGATTTATAATTTTCTAGATTAAGTTATAAATTTTTGAAGTTTAAGTTCAAATTTAAATTTGAACTATATTTGACCACAATGTTGACATTTTAACTGAATTCTGGAGGTTTGATATTTTTAATAGACACTAGACCTTAAATTGAATCTAATGCTTTTGGGTTTAGTCAATTTGAAATTGTCTAGAATGAATTATGAATTTTCGAAGTTGAGTAATTAATTGAATTTTTAAATTAATTTATTAAAGGAATTTTAATGGATTTAATCCAAACTTATTCCAAGCTTCATGAAATCACTCCCAAAGTTTAATAATGACCCATGGGAGTGTTTGGGGTAAAGGGTGACATACAAATGTCCTAAATACTTGTAATTGGATTGATTAACACACTTCAACTTCCATTAATCTCTATTCAAAACTTTGAAAGAGAGCTTGAATGCATGCAATGAAATTTCAAATTTATTTATAATAGATTTAAAAAAAAAAAGGGTTAGGAATGACTCACATTCATATAAATTCAATAGCTCTCAAAATAGGGCTCGATTAAATATAGAAAAATTACTAGAAATAAAAAATGCATTGAAAATAATTTTCCAAAATCTCAAAATATTTGGATCAATATTAAATAAAATATTAATTAAAACTAAAGTATTTAATATCTGAAATTAATTAAAATTCAGAAAGCATTCCTATTTGATTTTTATTTTAAAATAAAGTGGCTTTAATTCTAAAGAAAATGATATATTATACACTCTCCTGGGATATGCGAAAAGCCCTAGAAATAAAAAAATACATTCACTCTTTTCATTTAATTTTATCTATTTTCTTATTTAAAATTTCCATTTACTCTAAAATTTTTTTCTTAAAAACATATTTCTAAAATTTTATTCTCAAACACATTCTCTGCAGTTTAAACTTTTTTCCAATTTATTATGTTAACAGAAAAAATATTAAATATAACATAAATAAAGTTACACTTCATAATGTATATGTGCAATTAAATAATTTTTTATGCCTTGTTTTGTTGTTATTTTCCTTCAAAAACATTAACATATTAAAAAATATTATCAAAATTCATAAATAGTTAATATTCATAAATACTAATTTCCCTATCATTATATCATAGATATTTAATATAATTCAGAAGTAACCAAAACCCTTCATTTACTACTCTCAACAAAAATATTTAAACAAAATATTAAAAAAAAAATCTAAAATTCTTCTGAACTAACCTTAAAAGATGGCAGAAACTTCACTTCCCTTGCCTATTTCTCTTCTGAACTCTCACTTAGTATTCTTCTCACCTCGCAAAAACTTCTGCTCTCAACTCTCAAGGCAAGCCAGCTGCCATTTAAAGAAAAAAAGGAATAATGTTAGCTTGTAGGGGCTGGTTGCAAATAAATTATCCGCCATCGCCCCATTCAACTAAGCAATTGCGTGGAAGTTGCATGAAGAGGGGTCCGATGTGCTTTGGAAAAGATAAACTCATTATTTCAAGGAGAAAACACAAAGTAGGTTAGCGTTTTAAGTATTTTTCGTGAAAAATACAGTTTTGATCCGTATTTTGTGCAAAACGCACTACTAATGATCATTTTTTTATTCTTTTTAAATTTTATTCATTTCTTTTTCTAATTTCTCTATTTAAAAAACGAATAGAGGACTAGAGAAAATCCTATTTATTGAATATTTTTAAGATTTTGCTGGGAAGCTTCCCTTATCTTAATTGATGACATTAAAGTTCAAAGGACGTGGCACTTAATATTCTTGTTTTTTTCACATAGCTTCAAAAGCACGTCACATGCACATCGGCAGTTGTGCACGGGAAGAACTCTAAATACTTAAATCTCAGGGTTTTTTCTTATCTCAACCCAAAGGGCCCCTCATGTAAATAGTGGTGGTATAGTGACATGCTTTGTAAATAAAGAGAATATTTAGAGAAAGGTGAAACTTGAAAGTGCTCCATCGAATAACCCATATGATTCTCTCGATCATAAAGCATTATTTCAATATTTAAGAGCCTTAATGATGTCAGAATTGAGTGATTTTTGGCACTCTCGATCCTCTCGTACATTCTCACAATTATATGGTATGATCTCACAATCGTATGGTACAATCTAGTGAAATTTTATTTAAACAGCCAACCTCGTTCAAAATTTTCACATTACTCTTCAAATCTTCTCTTCTTGTATTCCAATTTTTACAATGGCTGGTGGAAAGCGAAGTCGCCAAACCGAGGGGGCTTCCTCCTCTCGAAACCCTACCAACGATCTTGTAACGAAGCTACCTACCACAAATTCAAAGAAGCCAATATCACACCTTCCAGGCTTCTTAATCATCAGCATGCCCTTAATTTTTTGATAATGAACCTATTTAATTCTACTGCACTTCAATTCCTCCTGACTTCAGCCTATCTCTTTCATTCCAAAATCCTATATGAATTCCTTCCAAACCTTAGGATTGGTGGGGATGCCACAATAATGTCTTCTTGCATATGTTGCAAAAATGTGATAATAATTAAGGAAGACATAGGAAATTATATTCAATTGAACACCCAGGGAAATAGACTCCTTGCCATGGCCTCCAAATCTAATTTGGGTAGATTGCTGCAAACTTAATTCTTAGAAATGATGATATAAACTTTCATAAACCATTGGTTCACACCCTTGACCAAAATGCTAGGATTATCCAATACGTTCTGAGAACTTCAATCATTCCTAAAACTTGAGACCACATAAACATCACTGCCCTACTGTCAATTGTCACCTACTTTATAATAACCAAAACCCAAATGGATAAAGCCTAAATGCTAATTGATTTTTATCCCTACAAAAGAGCATTATTGATTTTTATTTTTGAAGAATAAAAAATAAAGATTTTCAAATTGAAACATAGTTTATCAAAAAACCACAAATTACGTAACATGTCACCCTTCACACAAATCACCTCTTTAAAAAAAAAAACACTTTACATTCCCCAACAATCAAGCTTTACTTTTCCATTTACAATCACCGTTCACTTTTTGATCTACACATAAGGAGCACTTTCAAGAGACACACTTCCCAGTCTTACACACAATCCACTTTCACACACACATGATTCACTTTTCACAATCATCCATACACTTCACTATTCACATACACATACTTCACCTTTTAAAACCCTTTTACACGCTTCAAAATTCAATGCACCTTTTAAGCACTCCAACTTTCAATGCCTACAATTCAATTTTTAACACATACACTTTACTTTGACTTTTAAACATTTTTGCATTTCATATGCACTTCACATTTCATACCTACACACAACACTTTCCTAACACACTTTTATGCATTTCATTCCCCTACACATTTCACTTCCACAACTCTTCCCAACACATATACATTTCACAAACACTCCAATTTCCAACAATCATATACCATTCAACCTATGTACCCCACTTTCAATATAAGCACTTTTCAAAACATCTCATTTTCCCACACGATCACTTTTTAAAATATTTCTCTTTTTAACTCAAGTGCTTTCAAAACACTTCCTTTCACTATTAACATTTTCAATTTTCATCCACTCAACACATATATTTTCATTTCCTTTCCAAAACCTTGATACTTTTCAGTTTTCACTTTTCAAGATACACTCAGCCTCCACTTTTCAAAATACACATCAAACCTTCACATAACATGATATCAAGTCATGGTGTAATATTTAAGATTCAAGAAAGTGCATAAGGATATTACCATTAATCATGATTTCTTGAGGCTAAGATGTATTTTGAATGAAGACATGGTCATATATACTAAATTTTGAAATACTATATACAACAAACTCGAAATCCATCAAATGCAAATAGCTATTTGCTTAAGAACTCATAGTCATCAGATCTTATGACCAATTCAGCAAAGAAACCCATATCCAACGACACGTAGCAAAGTGGAGAGAAAGCTCAATCTTATTATTATCGCACCAATTCTTTGCTTCCACAGATTTTTTTTACCTTCTTACACGCACAAAAAAATTATAAATCAATCAAAGAACTTTTCAAGCCCAAACTCAAAGAGATCAAATCAGACAACATGCTGCCCTTTAGAATGAGAGAACTATAAGGAAGTTTCAGCACAATATGCTTTATCACTACACACAGTAATTATTAAGCAAGCCATGACATCCCTATGATCATCTATTTCTCATATCTTGAGTAAAAAGAAAGCAAAGAGAGGGAGATTGTTACCTTTATAGCAATGAAGTTCCTTGTCAACTAGAGGAAGAAGAGAGCAAGGATACAGCTTTCTAGGGGTTTCGGTTCTGTTTCAATCCTGTGGGAAAATGGAGATCGGCTGTTGGAAACGGCGCTAGGGCAAGAGCCGGTCGGGGAGCAAGATTGGCTTCGGGCTGGCTCCCTTGGAGCGAAACCGAGAGTGGGAGACGGGCTGGGGCTCGGTCCTATGGTTGGTGGATCGAGAGACGTCGGAGACCGGCGAGAGAGAGGTGCGGGGGTCGTGCAAAGCAAAAGTAGACGGGCGGGGGAAGACGTGCGAACCAGGTGGTTTCCGCCTAGAGCCCCTTGCCAACCGAGGAGATGGTTCTTGCGAATCAAAGAGAATGAGATGGAGGGAGATGGTTCCGCCTGGGGAATTCTTGCGAACCGAGGAGAGCGGGGAGCCTTGCGAACTGGGAGGAGCCGAAGCCAGGAGGTTTTTCGCGAACTGCCCAGAGACGGGGCTGCTTTCGCGAATACAGGGGCGCGGGAGATCGTGGGAGTCCGAACCGGCTCTACCCGAAAATTAAGGCTTCGTTTGAATTAGGTTTATGCTTTTTTTTTTTTTTAATTAATTAGAATTGAATTAGGTTTATGCTTAAATAAAAAGGAGTTTTAGAAAAGGAGGTTGAGAAAAAGCCGTTCAATAAGAATGAGTTTTAATAATAATATATGTTTGAGTAATATTTTTAAAAGTGCTTATTAATACTTAAAATTAATTTTAATTGTTTGTTTAGAAGTTCTACTTTTGAAATTTTATTATAAAAGACATAATTGCCCATGAAATTTATGTACACTTAATTAATTTATATATATATATATATATAT